CACATCACCTGACTACTAGGGAAAAAAAAAACACACACTCTGAATGTCCATACCTAGTCTGAGAAGTTGTCTTCAGAGACACTTTCTAGAAGAAGCCTGTGGGCGTGTCGGTGCACAGACAGCCGTTGTCAGTTCCATGGTGTGCTCTCCTGTGAGTTCATGGCAGACAATACTTTCTTCCTCTAGAAATTCCCATGTTTTCCCACCTGATGCCCTCAGAGACTCAGCATCCTCCCTGTGCGCTCACAGTATACTCTTTGGGATTATTAGGAATAGTGCCAATAACAAAATCTATCACACATTGCTGTTGTCTGTGGACCTGGCACAGGGTTGCAGAGTGCTCTGTTTTGGGGGATGATTTGAGGTAAACCAGAAATCATGACTGTTGTCCCCATGTGTATTAAACATCAGACATCTCTTCTGTATTAGTCCTTTTAGATGGTTAGTGCCCTGCTGTTGAATCTTGCCTGCTAAGATGGTCGGCATCCTGTAGTGTTTTGGGAACTTGGTGCTTGGTGTGTGAATCTGTAGAGAAGCTAAAACATGAACAGTCACTAGGTTAGTTCAAAAGCCTAGGAACTGAGCTATACTGAGAAAGATACAGCTAATTTCCCTGAGTGCATTCTGGTTACAGAGGTCTTTTTACATCCGATGTCACAAATGTCGGAGAGGGCTGTGACCACTTCCAACCGCATCCTTCTGCAGAGGAACCAATAGACAATGAAGACGGGAGAGATCTCACCCCCTTGTGCTCCTCCTGGTTTCCCTCTCGCACAGAAGGCCCTTCCCACCATCCTCAACTTGTTCAGCCTGCTCCTGTAGCCATAGGCAATTTTGCTGCAGTAGTGGCTGCCAACTTGGCTGGTGGGAAGCCAGGCCTGGAGGGAATAGAGGGTCCTGGCAACCGCTCGGGTCTGAGGGCCCCACAGGTCAGCTCCCAAAGCCTTCCACAAGGCAACCCTGCTGTTTTCTGTCTCCAGCTGTTTTAACAACAATGAGGGAGACTGGATGCCTTGGAAAACATGTAAGTATGCTCACAGTTCCAGAGTCTGGGACAGCTGAGGTCACGGTTCCATATGGCTAAGTTCTGATGAGGGTTCTCACATTTTCTCACATGGTGGCAGAGGTGGGGATGGAACCTCATCTTTCCTGTCTTCTTATAAGGACATTAATTCATGAAGAATCCATTCCCAGGGCTCGTTTACTCCTCAAAGATAGCATCACACTGGAGCTTAGGGTTTCCATGTGACCTGTGAGGTGACATACACTTTCAGTCCAGAGCAGCCTTATGAAAATGTATATGGTATTCCTGAGAACATGGATGGCAAAATATGATGTGTATTGTCATGTGGATATAACCTCTCTGAGCATAGAAAGGGGGCAGGAATGGTGGAAGCCACAGAGTCCTTTAAAACAGGGGTTAACACAGCTTTTGCAGAAAAAGAAAAAACATCCTGATTGTTTGCTCCCATCAAGGAGAAGCCTTGTCTTCCAGCCTTATGAGTAACAGAACTCCAAACAGATACACCCCACCAAGTACTTGCACCTCCAGGAGCAGAGATCTGGCTCAAGAGAAGCATTGGAGCAGAGGTCTATGCAGGGTCCTGGTACAGGAAGAAGTCCGCTTCCAGGTGGGAGGGCCTCAAGGTCAGCTTGCACTGCCTTGGGTGGTGCACACTAAGACACTGTCTAGATTTCTGCCCTTCCTGGTCCCGGCAGGATGCACTGTAGGAGGGACATCTTTTAAGCAAGGCCAGACCTTGGCTTACAACTCTGGAAGGTCATAAACAATGAGCCTGTTCCTCGGCAAAGGAAGCATTCACCTTAACCTCTGTCTTCTGAGGTCTAAGCTGAGGGTTGGCTATTGGTATCTTCCTTCCAGATGGTGGGTGCTAGAAACTGGATCAATGATACAGCTGATATTCTCCTCAAAGAAATAAGAGAGGCCTGGAAGGGTCCAGGTGCTGTGGTCAAGGAAAAGGGAGTCTGAGGTGGTAAATGTGAGGTTTAGGTCAATAAAGTGACAGCAGGTGAAGCCTGAAGAAATAGGACTGTAGAAGGTCAGCTATATAGGACGGGCCAAACTGGCTGCACACCTCAGGCCTAGAGCCTAGTTGATTGGTGGGCTTCTCACTGCTGTTAGATGGTAATGGGTACATACACACCACTCTTCTAGAACTATTAGATTTATAAAGTAGACAGCTAGGAGAAGAATTCATCTCTGAGAGAGTGGGGATAACACCATGGGCTCCGGTTTTCAAGGACAGTGTCCAGGCTCATAAACAGGGACTGTGGGACTCTCCCCAGAAGAGGACAATAGGGTGATTGCCTTTTAGAAAGCCACCCAAGAAAATGTGGGACAGGATTGCACTCACTCTGGGGTAGCCTTCGCTGGGACAAATTCAGAGCAGCCAAGACAATGAGAGGAGAGATGTTGTCCCCATCAGTGAGTCCGCTGTGAGCCAGGTTTGGCTGAGACCAGCTACTCACACGTGAGAAAGGATGTAAGCACGGCAGGCAAGCACAGCGTCAGTGTGTGGAGCAATAGCTGAGCTGCGGGAGGGGTAGTTTGGTCATCAGCTCTCTGACAGGTGACAGGCATGCTGTTGTCTCAGTTCCTCAGGCTCAGTTTTTTTTTTTTAGCCCGTACCCCTTTAAATGAGCTCAATACCAGTTTAACAGTCCTTTATAAATATATATTGATGGCAAGCACTCTATTTGCTTACATGCCCCAGTGGGGACATGGTTGTAAATGCGCATGTACACATGTTTTATCCTGAGAAGAGAAATTAAGTTGGTTGCTTTGCCAAATTTAATCAATTCCCCCAGCAGCTGGGGCTTGTCTCCTTTTAGTGATTCTCCATCCAAACCCTTGGACACCAGAAAAAAAACATCTTGCCATGCCGCCAACTGAGGAAGGCTGAAGCCTGAGCAGGTGTTTAGCCTTTCTACGTCACCCTTATTTATATAGAGAGTTCATCTTCAACTTGGCTTTCGCCAGGGACAAGGAGAATACAGAGATTGCTGTCTCAGGCAGATAGAGCTCAACGAGTAGAAAGAGGGCGAATTTCAGTTTACAAAATTCCTAAAGCCCTCTCCTTTCTCCCACCCTGTAGCAAAGGTGGTCAGACATCTGAGGGGTAAGTCACTCAGCTCTTCCTTCCATAGACTCCTCAGGATGAAGGACGGTTGGTGACCAGCAGTCAAAATTGCTTTGAAAAACATTTGTGAGTTTAGTCCCAAAGCAGTGGATTGTGTGACACACAAGGAGGCTCACTGTGTCATTCAGAGACACCAAGAGTGGCTTAAACTGTGTAGATCAAGGGTTTCTTCTTCAGAAGGCATGGCACCATTATCTCGGCATGCTAAATTCACTCACCCTGGAAGAGGAGCCTCTTTTCAAGTGGATCTTTTGGAAGGAACCTGGGATTGTTCTCAATGTCCATATTGGAAGGGGGACAGACAGACAGGTGGGCTGTTCTGTGAGGACCTCTCTGCCCAACTCAGTTAAGCTGGAGAAATGCAGTGTGGACGTGGAACCAGCGAACCTCAGCACAGAGGGTATGCTGTGGAGCACACCAGGGCCACTGTGCCTCATGGTACCTTCCTTTGTGTTGGCTGTTCCCTTTCTTCCCTCTGGTGGCTTCCCTGTGTTGTTCAGGTGCCTGAAGCTCTGTGGTAAAGCTGAAGCTGCCTAAAGATTTACGATTCTGAAGACAAATCCACTCTGTATGATGGTTTTTCACAATTAAGATAGGAAATCTTAAGCAGATACTCAGGAATGAATAAAGTCATACAAGACGTACGTGGATTGACCTTATTGGGTGGTGTCATTGACTTTTCATTTAAGTGACCAATGATTAATAGATCACAGTGTAAAGTTTCAAATATGTTTTCAGACAGAAATATTCCAAGAATGCAAGTCAGGTATATTTCTCAGATAAATAACAGTCGTGGCATTACATACAGGGAAAGTCTCCCTTCTCGGGTTTCCTGGGGTTGAGATTCAGAGTTCTGTCATTAATCATTCATTGGGGTCGGCCCTCCAGCCAATGGAAGTTGAAGAGAGCCCTGTTGGCTAATTCCTCTGGGCAAAGAGATCATGGGACTAGAGAGGACAACTGGGCAGCCAGTCACATGTCCTTGTGTCCAGACCCACTTCATCCTTGCCTCCAGTTCGAGCGCGCGCGAGCGAGAGTGTGTATGTGTGTGTGTGTGTGTGTGTGTGTGTGTGTGTGTGTTTCTTCACGGGTGTTCTCACCTGTTCCAACACAGACACAGGGCTTTCTTTTGGAAAGGGGGGGGGGAATCGTCCATCAGCAAGGCAGCAGTGTTCTGGCACATTGATTCAGGGTGGCTTTCTAAGGTGAAATAAGCGCACACCTTAGCTCTTTGATAAATCACTAACATTAGGAAATCAGCCACCTCTCCCACCTGGGCCACCACAAAGCTACCAATCAGTTCTGGGTTCCCTTCAGAAAGTGGTTCCCAGGCTCCAGGTGGTAGGCCTGCAACTCGGACGTCGGGTGCTGGGTTGCCTGGGACACACGTGGCTACTGAGGATGGGAACCCATGCCCACGTTTCTGTCTGTGCCCCTTGTGCGCTGAGCTACGCGCTCTAAGCCGAATCCCGCGCGGCTGGTTCAAGCAAGGGGGTGGGGTGACCCTGAGGCTCCTGAGATCCTCTGGGGTTCGTGGCCGGTGCTTGGGTGCAGCCAACGTCCCGGGGGCAGCTTCTGAGGGCAAGGTACCTCCTCCCACTCCCAGGATCGCTTCTCCCTCCTCCTTCACACCCCCGCCCCCGGGACCGCGGTGCTCCCTCGCCGCACCGGCCAGTGAGTACACAAAGCGGCGGGTGAGGGGAAGCTTCGCAGGCGTGCACGGAGCAGTGAGATCACTGGCGTTATAAATATCCCGGTGCCAGCGCCGAGATCCGCTCGGGTGGCCTCTCTCTCTCTCTCTCTCTCTCTCTCTCTCTCTCTCTCTCTCTCTCTCTCTCTCCCCCTCTCCCTCTCCCTTCCCCGAGGCTATGTCCACCCAGTGCGGCGAGGGAGGCAGCGCCAGAGGCACGCAGCCGCGCGGGGGCTACGGAGCCCAGAGCCAGCCCTGCAAGATGCACTTAGGACCCCCGCGGCCGGAAGAATGAGCTTGTCCTGGCTCTTCCTCCTCTTCTGCAGCCACCTGATCCTCAGCGCTTGGGCTCACGGGGAGAAGCGTCTCACCCCCGAAGGGCAACCCGCGGCTCCAAGGAACCCCGGAGACTCCAGCGGCGGCCGGGGCAGAAGTATCACGACGTCTTCCTCATCTTCTGCCTCCTCACCAGTCGCGGCTTCCTCGGGCAGCCAAGGAAGCGGCACGGAGCACAGCAGCTTCCAGTGGAGCCCTTCGGGGCGCCGGACCGGCAGCCTGTACTGCAGAGTGGGTATCGGCTTCCATCTGCAGATCTACCCGGATGGCAAAGTCAATGGCTCCCACGAAGCCAGTATGTTAAGTAAGTTGTCCCCTCTCCAACAAAACCTGTTCTGGGAGGGACGGCCAGGTTTCCTTTGGGCTACAGGGGCACCTCTAGGAAGCCCAGCTTTCTGGGACCTGGCTGATTCTGGAAGTAGTCCGGTAGGTTTCGCGGACATGCGTCTACAGGGTCAGTGCACCCGCTCCCGTCTCTCGGGCAGCGGGCATGGAGCTTCCCCAGGTGGAGGTTATCCTGATGAGACAGGAAGCTCGTTTCCAGGATGCCTGGCCAGGGGAGATAACAAAAACAAAAACAAGCCTTCCTCCATAATTGGGGAAAAAAATAACGCAAGAAGTAAAAATCTTTCTCCTGGTACAATTTCTTTCTTCTTATGAGCTAGAATCACATGTTTCTTCCAGTGTCAAAGTACACCTTTTTTCCCCCCTGTACACAATTCAGGTTAGTTTCTGAAAATATTAGACTACTTCTATTCTCCAGCCGCATACATCATATACATTTATCCCATATTATAGGTCTATGTTAATATGTGGATGTAACTTTTCACGCATAGACACATTTCACACACGTATATATACATATGTATACACAAATATGTAACTTTTCACACATAGACATATCTCACACGCGTATACATACATATGTATACACACACCGGCTACACACATCTATGTAGAATTTATATGTACACACGGAGTGTAGAGTCCTGTTTGCAAGAAGGCAACATGAGCTAGAAAACTGGACAAACCGTATGATGACTGAGTCTGGTGCTGGGTTTATCAGTGTATTAGTAAGCAGAGACCCTGACAAGACCGTCTCATCCTTTGGTTCCCAGAGACAGTTAGAGGAAAGTTCCTAATTTTAAAAGAACCACAGAGGACGTTGAAAATGTTTGGAAATTGGGCAAAACTTAAAAAAAAAAACCAACTTAATTTTTTTTCTGAGTTCTCTTTCTTCTCTCCCTTTTGCCGCCACTCCACCCGCGTTCCCTCCGCTCCACCCGCTTTCTAGACTGTCACAGTAGCCACTCGAACTATCTCGCTGCTCCTAGGCGGCTGAGGCGAGCGGTAATCTGGGGCTGTGTGCGAGGGACTGGGGTTGTCTCTGTGGTCCAGCTAGGTCTCACTTGAGTCAAATCGCTTTTCCAGCAGGGCTTAGTCCTCCAGATAAAAAAAACAAAGTCGGGACCTCTCAGACTCCCAGGGAGAACGGAAATGGGGCCAGGATATAATGCTGTGCTGTCAGCTGGCCCCTCTTGTCTTCCTGGTGGCGCCCAAGTATACCTCACCCGATCACGGTTCCCCCAGAGACCAGCACGCTCCTGTTTATTTAGTTCCAAGAACCGCGGGCTTTATTTGTTATCTGCAGGGGCTTGCGGAGAGGGTTTGGAGATTCAAGCCCAGGTGGGGTGGCTGGCTAGCCAGCCTCTTTCAATGTGTTAAGAGGATCAGACACGTGAGATCTGGCAGGAGCCACCGGACAGGTGCGGCTCCAAGCCAGCAGGCTGCTAGTTTTGCCTTTGGAGTGCACCCCTCAGCGGGCTGAGGTGTAGGTGGGGAGGCAGTGCAAAGCAGAGAGGGTTCTAGGTTCCCGGCACGTTGAGTCTCAGGGCTCCCACATCCTCTTGGACCCCCTCTTTTCATGTTTAAAAGAAGTCTGGCCTTTGTTGACGAAGGGAGCAGTCTGTTCTGGTAAGGGTGAGTTCTCTGTTGCTTCAGGGAGATGAGAGCTACTTTTGTTTCACCATTTCTCCTCATCGTCCTCATTCTGCAGGACTCAGTTCTGCCATGAGACACTAGAACTCAGTCTCCACTTCCAGCAATCTCCCTGGCTATTGAAGAAAACCATTCTCCAGTTTGTTGCTGTGAATTTATCCAGGAAACTGGTACCTACTCAACATAACCCTTACTTTCTCTGGCTCAAGAGAGATCCAGAGTAACAGGTAGCAAGTTGTAGAATCCCTGGTGCCTGAGGTAGATTTGGAATGCCAGGGAGCTCTGAAAACAGGATTGTCCCTTCTTCATTACAAAAGCAAGCTAAAGTTAAATGTGGCTGCAGTTTAGGCCCTGCTAAAAGGGGATTTACAGAAACACAAATGAAGGAAAAGTGAGAACAGATCAACAGACTTAGTTTTGACTGAAGAAGAAACTGGCCAGCTATCCATTATTGCCAACAGCCAATTTATTTTATAATCCTCATTGAAGGACGACCACCAAATGACAAAGATGTATCCTAAGCAGGAACTAATAAATCTTTGTAAGAAGCTTTTTCTGACTCCCAATCTCCCCACCCAATTTTAAACAGACATTCAGAATTGAATTTGTCTCTTTCAAAAGACTGGCCTTCATTCATTCACCCATTCATTCATTCATGAATCCAATGTAGGGCGCCCACCTCAGGAAGGATGATGTTTTGATTACTTTCATGCCTTTTTTTTTTTTTTTTTTCTTTTTTTTTCCTTTTCTGGTTTGCCTTTTTTTCTGGCCTTGCCTTCCACAGGTTTTTCTTAAAGGAAAGCATAATTTAAATACTATGGTCATAGTGATTGCTTTGGGTATTTGGAGTTCCCAACAATGCTCTATGAAATGTTTGTATGTGCAGTGGGAAGACATGGAATTTGGAACGTTAACATGACTCTTTACACTTATGTCACCATGGAAGGAAAACAGCAGCAACTTGCAGTTGATTATTTAGTGTACTTTGCAGGTAGTGCTTGATAGATTCCTGAAATTTATGTAAACTAAGGCATTGACCTTGGACGGTTACTTAGAATATGTGTAGAAACATTGTTTTTTTGTTTCACAGGAGAAGGCCAGGAGAGCTTTGCAATGAAACCTCAGTATAAAAGTTCTTTAAGATGCTACAATAAAACTTTTATGTCAGATAAAATATCAATTGTTAATCAACAATAAATATATTTGCCAATTGCAAAGAATTGTTTAATTTTACTGTTAAAACCGTGCTCTATGTACAGATATTGAAACCTTCCTTTAGGTACACCAATTAGTAAGGCCCCTGTTTATCTTATACTAGAACATGGTAACTAGCTTATTGCCCATCAGAAGGAAATACTGGGGAAAGGTGGAGAAGAACGGAGAAGATGAGGTTATGAGTTCTAACTGTGAAGAAAGATGAGTAGCTGATTTAACTTAGAACCTGTCAAGTTTAGCTTTGATACAGTGCTGTTGGTTCGCTTACCTCGGGCCATTAAAACTAGGAAATTAGCCTCAGCTCAGAGGAGAAAAGTTTAGGCAATGGCTACAGAAAGCATTCACACAAAATATGAAAATTTCGTCTACATTTGGTTAAGAGAGTCCTGAATTTTACGTTTTGTTTGAGAATCTCACCTAACTATCTGCTTTGGTGTCACACAGTCATCAGATATTTCCCTGGGCTGGAGAAATCAGAATTTACTGTGCAGAGAAATTCAAGGGGAAATTCTGTTACTAATTTAATCAGCAAAGACTGTGCTAAATTGGATTGTTCAAGACAAAGACTTGATATCTTGGCAGAGCATGTCTGTTGCCATGGATGAAAGTAGAGAGACTTCAGTGTCACCATATTTTTCTTTGGGAATTTTCAAATATGTTGTTGAGAGCCTCTGAACACATGTGATATCTGTATTGTTCTAGCTTTTATTCTCCAAGCCCTCCACCATCAACAGAGCCTTCTTGTAGTGAGAAATATAAGAAGAACAAGAAAGGAAGCTCTGAGTATATTTTCTCACCGAAGTAAACTTATTTTTAAGGCATAATTATCCCATGAAGAGAGTAGGTTAAGGACCAATGGTAGAGACACCAAAAAGTTTTGTCTCCTTCAACCTGGAAATCAGTTCTGACATTTTAATGAGAAGGGGTTTTCTCTCTCTCTCTCTCTCTCTCTCTCTCTCTCTCTCTCTCTCTCTCTCTCTCTCTCATCTTAACCTAGAACATTTTGGGAAAGAGAGAGCAACATCTTCAATATCTGAATATGAATTAATTTTTCCTGAGTTCTCTACACCAATTTCCAAACAGGAAACAGACACAATAATAAGAGCAACTCAAAACACATGTGTCTATGAAGGGGTGGGGCGGTGGTGTCCCTATGAAAGTGTAACATTGCAGATAGTCACTGGCTGGTATCTGAGACAATTGCCTTCCACAATTAAGGATACTGTTTTGACATCCACAGGGTGAAGAGGAAATTTCCTTCGAGTTTATTATTACTGAAGCCTAAAGATAAGAATATAGATACTACTGACTTACTCAAAGTCAGCTTTAGAGAAATGTTTCTTGGAACACATTAATTCAAGATATAATATACATAGATTTAAAGTATTTCCTAGAAGTCTTTAATAAGCTACTGAGATTTACAGTAAAAGTAGATGACATAGAGAGCCTGTGGTCTCTTGGAGAGAGGAGCAGGAAACCCATTGTGAGTCGTGTAGAGTTGTGCCAGGATTCTGAGAAACCAAGACAGAGTGAAGTCAATATTGAAATTAGGTTAGAAATTATGATCTTTACAATGAATCCAATATTAGATCAAAATTGCATTTAGATTTAAAACATCAATTCCAAAGTTGTCTGTGTGGAAAAAAGAAGACATAAGAGCACATACACTCTCTCTCACACATATATACATACATACACACATATATACATACATACATACACACACACAATATAAAGTTTCCAGGTCCAGGGAATCTTATTAAAATTAAATAATCTTTCCATTTTCTGGCAATACTTGTTTTTATAGTAGAATTTATCAGACAAACCATGTAAGGTAAATAAAATAATGCTTTCACAGGCATTACTTCGTCATCTGCACATTTAAAATTAACAGCAATGAAAATGTATGTTATCGGCACAAATGCAGTATATTGAGATACTAAATGAGACAAAATGAGTCCTCTAAAGAAGGTTATAAGGTTGAAAAGCACTGGTTTAATTAAACAAAGTCATAGGAAGCTTTTGTTCATTTGTTTTTTAACTAAGTAAATATTTATAAAGTCATCTAATCTCACCATCTCAAAAGGCAGACTGAAAACGTGAGAATCGGGTCTTTGATACTGTCATATGTTTTTCATTAATACATGACCAATTTGCATTTATAAAGCTGAGCATATCCATAAGGTGAACAAAAATCTCCTTTGAATTCATTCTCATGGATTCCTAATAATTAAATTATAGAAAATATTGAATTTTTAAAAAAGCATTAGAATAATGTTTCTTAGGGGTGAGCAAAGGCCACCCTTACCAGTCTGGAGCAAGGAGAACACTGGAAGAAAACTGTCCAGACCTCACCTCTCAACCCCATTGTCCCTGTTGTATCAATCAGTCCACAAAGCAGAGCTCCAATGGAGGCCTCTTCATGCTTCTGCTCACATATGTTTATGCAGTGTTTACAGTTTCATCCCCAATCAATCAAATATTTGAACTCGTTATTGATGCTTTCAGTATTACCTTTCGATTCTGATTCAAACAGAGCTCTTGATCAGATGTGCTAGTCAGATTTTAGCAATAATATCATCTCTATAGTTTAGTTTTAAAAGTTCAATATCCTCCATGCGAAGTATATTTAAAACTTTAAAAAGCTAAATATGCCACGTATGTATGCGTGTTATACTCTCTCTAACTGATGCGTGTAACTTTACAGAGTGTTCCCTGGGCTCTGTCAGTATCTGGTAAAATGATGGTGCTTCTAAATCTTTGTGTGTGTATCACAGTCAATGTTTATATTAAATTATACAAAATTACATTTTAGAAACACGATTAAAGAAAACGAAGCATAGAACACTAGAGTCTATTAACACTCTCTTACATAAGCCAAAATAGCTCCCTGTTGAGTGTGTTTTAAAATTCTCATGAAAAGAGCACCACTAAATTGGTGCCTGCAGTTTCTCTGAGAAGGTTTTCTTACTCTGGGCTAAGATTTAAAAAGAATAAGAACAAAAATAACTTTCAAGGTATCCCCTTTTTTACCCTGTGATATTTCTAAGTATTTTTAGCAAACTAAGCTGAGAGAAAGCAAGCAGTAATATCTGTGACAATGACAGATTCTCAGCTTGTGTTGTGTGACATAGTCCTCAATAAACTAATTCATCTATATGTACTTAGAGCCCTTGTTAGTAAATTGAATAATTTTGCACACATACCAAGCACTGCAGGGGGAGGTTGCCATTTCCAGGAAACGTGAAGGAGGTGTCTCCTCTGCAGAGAGCTACTAAGATACCGTAGTGAATGTGTGCACGGAACCCTTGTGACCCAGTGTGAAGATGTGCTTTCTCCTCCTCCATCTTCTTTGTTTCCTCTCCGCTCTCCTAACTATATTACCTTCTTTCTGTATTTTTTACAATTTCAAATGTCTAACTAACAAGAATGTTATCCTTACTCATACTTATATAAAATCTGTTTTGACTTTATTATAAATATTAAGCAGGTTGTCTAACTACATGCAGAATACACACTTAATCTTATTCATACCGTGAATTACAGTAAACAGTTTCTTGCCTCAAAGCACATAGTTCTTGACATGACTGTGGGGGATGAGGGGACATTGCGTTGACATACAGACTGCATTCATTATACAGTAACAACTGTATTGAAATCGTTTTTCTGGGAAATGATTTAAAATCTAATATTTTTCAAAACATAGTTCATCAAACAATTTATGGAAGTAATAATAATTTACACTGTTTTTAATATCTTAGGTGTAGTTTTATGGTTTTAAAGGATTGAATATGACATATACTTATTTAAGTTCTCAAACTGTGATGATTGAAAGAGAAAGATTTGTTTTATGTAAGAAAGTATAATTTTTCAGGCTTTTGAATTTCTTATACTAACTTTGAGGACAGATTTATGTTTTAATACTAAAAGTAGATCCTCTTTGCTGCAATAATAACAAATTAGTATTAAATCTAAAATATATTTTTAAAGCATCTTTCAATACATTGGGGATTTGAAAAGATTCTAATGCCAAACAAACAGTATTCATCAAAAGCCGCTTACTATTTGCAAATACAGAATTATTGAGGAAGCAGAATCAAATTTCTAGATCTTGAAATAAGTCCTTCTGAGTGTCCACTAGGACACTGGCCACTCTTAACATAGCAACTGTCACAATAGGTCATTGCATGTCACTTTCTTTAGTCCCAGTGGTGAAGACTGAGAGCCGTTGATGTAGACGTTGCATTCTTCCCAGTTCTGTGTAGGAGAGTCTGTGTTTTATTTTGGGATTTTTGTCATCCTAGGTATTTTGGAAATATTTGCTGTGTCTCAGGGGATTGTAGGAATACGAGGAGTTTTCAGCAACAAATTTTTAGCGATGTCAAAAAAAGGAAAACTCCATGCAAGTGTAAGTAGAACCGCTTTATATTTGTTAAAGGTGCTCTGAGGTTTTACATTTGTAACAAAAGTGAAGTGATTTTTTTTTCAAAATCAGTAGATGAGATAGACAATTTGATTAAAGAACTTAATTTTTTTCTTTTGGTAAAATTATATGTATGTATAACCAATTTTGTATGTGTCTGTAAGTAATCATTTGAATAAACTTGAAAATACATACAGCCTTTAAAATCATAAAAGATAAATGCACTTGGAAATAGCCTTTGCACACTGGTTGCCACTGTTAGTGTCCCAGAGGGGTCTGGATGAGACTTGTCATGGCAACGAGTTATCCTCTTGCATTTTAACTTTACGTGTTTATCTGGAGGTTTGAGTGTTTGATAGATAGAGTTCTTATTTGATCCTATACGTTATTCATGATATCAAATTTGGTCTGATTAATATACATTTCCATGTAAGCAAGTAAGAGACAAAACCAAGACCGCAAATCCCCTTACATCCCAGAAAAAGATTGTGCTGGATGAACTAGGGAAATTTCTTTCTTGTATTTTGCCACATCAAATATAATTAATTACTGATCTTGAATTCAACGTATTTCTTCAGACTACTTACACATTTAGTAATTGGTTTACAAATCATTTGTTTCTAGCTTTTAGTAGTGCAGATTCTGTTTATTTGTATTAGTGGATATGTGTCATAATTATTCTTTAAAATTAACTCTTTAATTATCAGCAAATGAAAAGCTATTTCTTTTTGCAATTTTCAAAGTAGATTAAAAAGTCTAATTTAAGAGTGATATCAATTGACACTCCTTGACTTTTTACTTATAGACCCTTGAGAATCCAATCGGAATTCCCCTCATTTCTACATGCAAAACTCTTCCAATTTCCTTTTCTTTGCATCTAAAGTAATTAATAACTTTTAAAGAACACTATGACTATTTGGGGGTTTAGTGAGTGAGTATATATAAAGAACTTAGGGCAGCATTTGGTACTTTGTAACTATTCAATAAATGGTGTTTATTATTATATGAAATAAACTAAATATAACGTAAATGTAGCAAACCGCCATTTAAGATAAATGAAAACCTCTAAATTGTTTAGTTGTTAATTTCAAGAATTGTAAAAGCAATTTATTCCATTTATGGGTTGCTTGTACTCTAGTAAGGACTAACACAGTTTTTAAAGGTGATTGCTACGCCTGAACAACTAAAAGTGACATTTCATTTATTTGAGGGGAAAAATATTCTGTATCACTGTGGAGAAAAGTCAGACATCTCATTTTGTTAAGAATAGTATTTGATCATTAAAAATTCAAATCCTGGTGGGAAATCAATGCCTTTCCTTGCTCTAATTTAAGGTCTTAAAAGCCCTCAAAATCTCAGTGTCTTAAGGTACAAAACGAACAAAAAAAAAATCACCTCTTATGAGTTTGTCTGCTGTAGGGTGAAAAATCGTAACACTGAAAACGTTCTGAGTTGTGCACTAGTGCATACAAAAATAGATGGAACTTAGGCCAGCGTGAGGATAATTGCCACAGAAAGCAAAGTATTATAAATGGATGCCAATTAGAAGGGTCAAACTGAGAGGTTACGATACATGATTCCTCTGTCAAATGCAAGTAACTAATTTCTAGAAATTTGACCCAAATGTCTAAAGATGACTGGTGGAAATAATGCAGATAACGCAAAACACAGCATCTGTTATTCTTTCTCATCTTGGCAGGCTAAGTTATTTCATGGAGTAATGACTTTTAAACAGCACAAAGCAAGCCTTGCTCCTGTCACTCACTGCGGCTCTTTGATATAAAAGTCATTCTGATGACTTTGAGCTGAACCATAGATAAAAAATTAAGCCCGACGATTATGTCCAAACCTACATTCTCTTATCTGAGCTTTTATTAGTGCTTTTTCTCTCGATGGAAAGAAACCTAATTAAATTATGAAGTGATTTATTTTTAAAGAAGTCGAGTTTAGAAATAGCATTAATCATAGCAATTATCGGCTTTATGCCCAGCTGGTTTCTTTCCTGTTTTCACTGTAGCGGAATACGTTAAAAAACATTCTTACAACTTTCAGTGTGTTTATTTGACTTGGTTTTGATATTTACAAAATCACATTACCATCCAAAAACCTAACTCACACTTAGTAATGCTTAGTTTGTGAGTTGCTTTGCACTAATAATCTTACAATGGCATTAAAGAGTGCCTACCTTTCAGCTTCTTCTTCCACAGTAGACTAGAAGTGGAAGTTATCCAGGGAACTCTGGGGAAAGTAATCGCCTTACACTGACTTGTCCATTTCCATTCAGTTCTGCCAACAGAGATTAATCACCACACAGGGTGATGTACTTCCAGAATTCGGTAAGAGACCCTCCATTCTTGTTATTCCATCAGACACTGAGTCGTGGAAAGAGTCTGAGATGTTTAGTTATTTTCCTAAGATCACATAGTTACGTGACTGAAGAAAACTGTATCGTTTCCAAATTCCCTCTTGAAATATCCAAGGTTCGAGTTAGTTTAAAAGAAAGCATTGTGTTTGGGAACACATTTTTGTTTTCATATGCTTAAAGGAATTAGTAAGTGCCCAATTTAGTAATATTTTCATACCATATGTCAGAAATGAACACTGTGGGATATCATTAAGAGCATTTATAGCATGCTGTTAACTAGCAAAGAGGGAAATTCTCGATTAGATGTGGACAGCTGTAAATTAATTTTCACCTTCCCTTAAGTTCAGAACACATTTATTTTGGTCCTAGCCTTCCCCTCAAACTCCTTGGTCTATAGAGAAAGGGAGGTGTCTGTCACAGAACTTATCAGACTTACATGTTGTTATCCAGTGTGATGTTGTGTTGCCTAGGGAACCCCTCTCAAGATAGAGCTTTCAAATAGGAACTACCTGGTTCCTAAAAACATTCCTGCACTGAATGCTACTTCTTTTGTGTACCCAAAGGTGGCACACTAAAGCGGCAGCCCTGAGCAGTGTGGAGGAGGCAATGCTGGTGCTGACCTAATTGTCCTGATGATTAATTTCACAATGGAAGTTTTACTTGAAACTCAAGCAGGTGGTCAGGTGGTGTGTCAAGCTCTCAGTCCATCCCTGATCTGCATACACCCACCTCCAAACCATTCTCAGATTCCAAACACATGATAGTCTCGGCATGCTGTCTTTAAAGAATCTTTTTAATTGAAAACAATTTTTTTCATACAGTATACTCTTACTATAGTTTTACCTCCCTTAACTCCTCCCAGATTCTCCCCACTTTCCTGCCTACCCAAATCCACGCTCTTTGTAATGAGAGAGAAAGGGTATTATGGGCCAAAAGTGCATGGTCTTCTTGTCAAAATGGGCCAGGAGTTATAGAGAATAGGAGACAATAGTTAATTCCCAGAGAAGCAGCAGGATTAACCAGTCTGCACTGTGGCTCTTATTCTCAGTCTCAACATACTCCAGATGGAGGGACTTTCTAAGAACATGTGCCCTTCACTGTCTTTCATCTGTTCATGCTCTTTCTTCAGGTTTGGGGTCATCACAAAAAGCCCCACAGAATTCCTTGTTTGGATTTTCCTTACAGGGTTCTGATGTGAACATGAATCCCTCTGGGTGTGCAGAGCCCTCAAGCCAAATTCCACTTCACACTTGTGTTGTTATATTTAATGTTTCTGGGTTTTGCTTTTATGGGCGATACAAACAGGAGAATTATTTTCCTGCAGTGACTGCCCACAGGGGTGGCTGTGTTTTACATGAGATAATATGTGCAGAATACTTGGTGTAGAGCCTGGAAACTATGATTACTTGCAACTTAAGCTGATCTTCCAGAATGTGTTCTCTGGCAGCTGGTAGATGATCTTCAATCTTTCCTTCTGATTTCCAGGTCAAATGGCTGTGACTCTTCAGTTATTTAGACTAGCCCAAATCCTACCTCACCACTAGCCTTTACTTTACTCTTGGGACAGCACTTTTTATGCACACAGCAGTCTCTTATGTGCTAGGTTTTTCGTTTTGCAGAAAAATCGACTTTGACGGCAAGCTCACACTGTCAACATAGCAGGGATCTCTATTACCATAATTGTGTTATTCGTCTGGAGACCTACAGTCCAGTTTAGTGTTTTAAACGTGAAAATATTAAATCTTGGAAAAGTTGGGTATCACGTGTGCTTCAATGTCTTAAGGAAGCATGCATGGCTGCTTGTTACATATTGGGGAAGAAGTGTGCTATACAGAGAAAAGCATGTGGTCAAATGGTTATTTTCTTATGTCTCAGGGTTCTAGGGGATCATGTTTGGAAGGAAAGCTAATTGCAGAGTTTACGAAACCGGCTTGGAATGTGTGCTGGTCAGCCCTGGGTGAGGATGAACGTTTTCCTTTCCTGGGTTCAGAGGATGCCAGCTGGCTGGCCTAGGGGGAGAGTCTGGACTGGACTTCAGGAGCTGGGGGCAGTGAGGAGCAGCCAGCAGCCCCCATAGCTCAGGATGTTTACTAAAGGTGGAAATAGAAAGACTTGAGCAGTACTTACCATTATCACTTAGAAAATAAAACCTAGTAAGATTCACTCTTCCCGTCAAGACGATAGGCTACATCAAAGCATCTGTATAGGGGCATTCTTTCCACTGTAAGAGCTTCTCATCTACATGGAAAAATGTGAGGTTCAGTAAGTTAAGATCCAAAAGCAGTTTGGGGTTCTGCCTTTGCAATTGATTTCCTTATATAATATAATATATAATAGAGATGCCTGAAACGAAGCACCTTCCATCTAGCTCTGTTCTCCATATATGATTCTTACCTCATCTCTGTCACTACCATCTAGTAAGCAAGCGATGTTACAAATCCAAGCCTTCATCTCACCCCTACAAAAGTAAAATCTCTGGAGATACAGCCAGGGGAACAAGCATTTTAAATTTGATTTCTGATTAATTTTTGAAGTATATTGATGTTCTTTAAGTTGCTTGGTTTTTTTTAGCAATTATTTGTAAAGAATAATACTTGTAAAAAATTTGTAAGCTCTCTGA